GCAGCTCCCAACGCATGGCGGGCCCAGCCCAGCTCCAGGTGAGCGCAGGGCCTGGGTTCCCGCCTCGGGTCCGGGGAACCGGGAGCCCAGAGAACCTGCGCAAGCCTAGAGGGAGTGCGCACGCGCGCGCAGCAGGGAAGGGGCGGGGAGCGCGGCGAGGGCGGAGCCACATCCGGGTCTTGGCGCCAACCTCCGAAGGGCGGGGCTGACTCTGAGGTGGGGGGGAGAGGCCTGGCCGGCGCGATGTGCTCCTATTTAAATTAAAGGGCCCTGACTTTTCAAAAAATATTTTATTTAACCCAATATAACCAAGGCATTATCACGTCAAAATGCAATATAAAATCATATATGATATGTTAATATGAAATTATAACTATGATATTTCACCTTCTTTCTCTTCATTCTAAGTCTTTGAAATTTGCTATGTAATTTACCCGGGCAGCACGTCTCCATTTGGACTAGCAACTTACCAAGCTACAGGATATGTTTGCTATTAACTCTGCCGTCTTATTTTATGTTATTATAGTCTAATCATAGTGCCCTCCTTTATAATATTGAAAGAAAAATCATTGCCGATTCGCTTTGCTGTTCTCACGGCAGGTCTGCATCCCCCCACCCCCAACTCACACACATAAATACAGGCAGACACATGAAGCGTGCTCCTTAAATATATGGTGAAAGCCTAAATGAATAAACAGGTAATTTTTGTTTCTGCTTGTTTGTTTTTCTGTGCCTTAAAAAAGCACCAACCAAACAAAAATCATTAATAGAATACATCCTTCCTGGAAGAGAGAAGATCTCCCAGGAATTATCAGCAAGCAAATGAAAGGGTCACAGACCCTTTTAGGAATCTGATAAATGCTTTTAAAAAGGAAAAGTAAGCGCTAGTAAGACGCTTCTGCCTGAAGTTTTGTTGCGGAGGCAGGGGGCGGAGGTGGGGGCGTCGTGGACCGCATAAAATAAAGCCAGTCCACCGACCCCTAGGGGTTCGAGGTTAAGCAGCCGCCGGGCGGCGCAAGTTGGCATCATCAACCCAGGGCACATTTTAAGAGTGAACTGTGCGCATAAAGTGGACTGGAAGACACCGGAAACCAGAATGAGTCTTTAAAGGCAGACACACCTTTTGCTTTGACTGCGAGCGGCTGGATACTAAGGAGAGCTTGGAGAAAACCCGGAGAAGCGGAGTTCTCCCGCGGGTCGGGAGTCTCCCGGGGTCGGGAGTCTGACCGGAGAGCACAGCAGCGGTTCTGCGCCTGCGCCGAGATTCCCGCATGCTCAGTGCTGAGGTAGGTTAGTCCCGCATCCGCTGATGACCTAGAGGGAGAGTGGACGCTGTACCGGACGCCGCGGGGAATCTGTTGCTTGATAACGCTCTTTGGGCGACCCCAAAGTGTCCTTCGTCTGATTTTGTCCCAACTTTGTCACCGTAAGTCTCTCCTCTGCGGGTCAGCGCAAGGGCCTTAGGCAGATCTGAGTAGTTTATTGGTCCCCCAACTCCACTCCCTTGCACAGATACGAAGAGATTCAAGGGATTTACGTTAAAAAAAAATTTACATGCATCAAATTGCCTCTCCAGATATTGCAATTTCGGACCTATACTCTTGAGCATTTATTTTTCTCTGTTGTTTTCCTGCCTCGGGGTCTTTTTATGGCTATATATTGTAGAGATAACAAGGCAAACCTAAACAGTGGGTTCGTTTGTGCACCTGAATCTAGACTGTTTTACACCTAAATGTAAATCTGATTAAAATAGCGGATATTCTTCCCACTTTCTTTCTTGGCGGTAGACTTACTTGATTTATTTAGTTTCTCTGAAAATGTAATTGCTAGTTCAAAAGATGTGTACATTTTACTTTTAATAAGAGTTTCAAGAAGGGAGGTTTCACTTTACATTGTACTGTTAATGCTCAGGCGGCTCTTTCTTTCTTCACATTATAGCCAACACCGGGCAAACTTTCTTGTCTATGCCAATCTTAGAAATGAACGATCATTTCTCATTGTTTTAGTTTGCCTTTTTTTCATAACTAGTGATGCTGAGCATTTCCTGATTTAATGGCCATTTTATTTTTCTAGGAATTGCCTGTTGGTGTCACTTACTCATTTTTCTGTTGGCTTATTCATCTTTTACATATTGATATATATAATGTGTTTACATAACAAAAATTAGCTCATTTGCATAGTGTGAAACACTTTTTTTTTCTCATTTCGTCATTCCTCTGTTTTGTTTATGGTACTTTGGCTAGACATTTTCATTTTTATGCAGTCAGGTTTATCAATCTATTCTGTGAGTTCTTGGTTTTTGTCATGTTGAAAAGTCCTTTTCCAAATTTATAAAACATCTCACCCCTTTTATTCCCGTACTTTTATGGTTTCATTCTTAATTTTAAAAATCTTGCATTGATCTGGAATATACATTGATACAAAGAATGCAAAAAGGTTCTGACAGGTTTTTTTTTTAATTAGCAATTGTCCCCACCTTTTTTTTTTGCATAATTAACTTTCCTCTGTGATTTGAAATACCACAGTTAGTGAGTTTGGATCTGTCTCTGGAATTTATTTGATTCCATTAATCTGTCTCTTAAATTCTGTCTGGGACTAAACTGTTTTAATTACTATTGCTTTATATCATATTTTGATAACTGGTAAGGAGGGTATCTCTATTCATTGCTCTTTTTAACAGAATTTTTAAGCAGAATTTGCTCTGTTATAGTCAGGTTCCAAAAGATAATCTTAGTATTTTGATTGGGAAATAATTTATTTTAAGATCCTAATCCTCATATACTCACCACCTTTATATTGAATTCAAGATACCTCTCCCAGGCTATAAGAAGAAATGGATCATTTGATTCTTGTCGTTTTTATCCTTCTGAACGAGCTCTGTTGGCAGCTGTAAAGATTTCTTAAATGATGGAGTGTTAGACTGATTGCCTTAAATGTCATATAACCTTTTTTCATACTCTAAGCCTCAAGTCTAGAATGTTATGAAAAAGAACCTGTTTGGTGATTCAGAGTCACACTGGTTATCACATTACTTTCTAAGAGTCAAAAGAGCGTTGCATACACTATAAGTATTTTTGGCCTTTAACGCTGTTCAAATGTCTCTGCAGGATAGCTAGTGATGAGGTCAATCATCATAATAATGATTAGCCAGTATTATTTAATGCTTACCTTGTGCCAGGGACTGATTTAATAATTACACTGTGTTTGAGAAAGCTTTCAGAAAGGTAGTGTTTTAGAACCAAAAAAGTGTAAAACTGCTGGAGGAGGAACTACAGTGGATGCAATCTGAACTGCTGTAAGGAAGTTAAGGACTTGCAGGTCGCTTTTTGGCCTTTCTTTGTAGTCACCTGTACCCTCAACAGGTAATTCCTATTTGGGGTTCTTGGAGGGGACACAATTCAAAAGGCTAATAGGACCCTTTTTTAATTTTTTTTAACAGATTTTGCGTTTTAAGCATATAATCAACCCCATTTTCTTTACACAGAGAGCCAAAATTGTGTTCGTTTGTTTAAAAAATATGTAAGAAAAATATTAGGGCTAGGGGAGAGCCTAATATGTCATTACTAATTCAGTTTGGACCAGAGAAGCACTTCAGAGAAAATGGTAGAAATATTTTCTCATTTGCTAACTTAAATTCACAGGATCTCTTTATAAATCACTGTGCTTTACATCAGAACTGATGTTTGACACTCTTATAAAAACTGGTAATCGCTCTAAAGGTGCTTTATCAATACAGTGTACATTTTATGGGGAGTATAGTAGGGAGACAAAGCCTGAAAGTTTTCTTTAGAAGGAAATAACCATGGACTTGGCAAACCGAAGAGGAAGTGGTTTAGTTATATATGAAGCCTGACGAGGCTAGGATGATTGCTCAACTGGCTCAAAGGTAAATGATACCTGTGAAAAGTTAGAACACCATACAGTAAGGGAAAATGATCTGCCTTTCACAAACGGCATCTCATAGGATGTGGGAACTGCGTGAGCATATCAATGTATATTAAAACATCCTCAGTGGTTAAGACATCTGGGTGGTACAGATTAGCTGCCTGAAGACTGCCTCTTCCAGTGCAAAATAAATCAGACACATGGCTGGTCATGGATGTAAGGGAGATAGGTCGACAGAGTGTTTGATAAATTAATTCTCCTGTTTTCTATTTGAAGTGTTCCTGAATTAGTAATCATCGTAAAGGATTTTTCCACGTGTCGCACCCAGTATGTCAAGAAAATGAATCTAGCCTGATTATGATGTAATAAGATAAACAGAATTCAAAGATATAGAAACTCATTTTATTTTTCTCTATTCCAGGTAGCTATCAGTCACAGTATGATATTCATTACTTTACATCAGTTTCAATTCTGTCTTCATTCTGAAGAGTTTCAAATATTTCACTCAGTTATGTTCAATTACGTATTATCCCTGTGAACAGAATGTGGATGATAGAAAAAAAGATGTAAAGAGGTTAAAAGGCACATCAAAGCAAATATGCAACCAGAAATTGGTGGTAGAATGATAACTCTTGCTGAACTGAGATTGATAATGTCCCTTCTGTGTCTGTGTTGTATTCCCTTATTGCACTGAAAAAATGTTGACTTACTTTGATTTGAAATGGGAGAGTTTTTGTCACAGATTGGTTCCCTGTAAGCACTCTGAGACCAAGTACAAGGATGATGTACAAGAGGTTTTTTAGGGAGTGTTCCTGAGATCACTCATGAGAAATGTGAAGAAAGTAGAAACGAGCAGGGGGCTGGGAGGAGTTGGACTGGGATACAGCCCCAACTAAGGCTCCGCCCACGCCATGGGCATTTGGAAGCTAGACGGCCCATCAGAATCGGGGTGGCAGCCCAGGTGGAGTGGGGGGTGGCCTTTACACCCCACTGTTGACCAGCTTCTGGTGAAATGACTCTTCTCAGTAGATGAATTCCCAAAGAAAAGGGACAGGTGAAGACCATCTGCTCACAGCCCTCTCTACAGCTGGGGAAGTAAGTCCTTCCACCCCAGAGAGAATCTAGGTGGTGTGTCCTGGCATCAGAACAGTCAGTAACATTGTAGGGTTTGAATTTGTATTTTCAAAGAAGAATTTACTTGATCCAAAAAACTGATTTTTCCATACTTTTCACTGGGCCAGAAGCTACTTGACACTCATTACTTTTCGGAATGGTTGGTCTTCACTCCAATGGTCATGTTGCTTGTTCCCCTTCTTTGGCTACTGATGAGGATAGTAGTAAATAACCGGCGGGTTGAATTTTATTTAATCTCTGAAAGACTGTTCACTGATTTTCAGAGACTAAATGTAATCACATACAATCCCTCCCCTTTTTAATTACTTCCCCCATACGCTCACATCCCTTGTGCTACTCACACCTCTCCTGGCACTTACCAGTTTTATGTTATAGACATTAGGTTAGAGTATTTTACCTGCCACCCACCAAAATATCAGCTCATTAAAATGAACAGATATTATATTTTGTATTTTTAGCCCCTGAAGCACCTTCCACAGCCTTTGCACTTGACACAAGTCATACCTAAAACTTTTCCACATGCTCATAGGCTTGTGCCAGGTTTCCCCATGCCTCAAAGTGTCCCACCTGCAGAGAGAAGGAACTCTGCAGAATTTTGAGGGAAAGCTAATGCTGAAGTGGAGTCTTTTTCCAAATCTCTTTTAGTAAGTACTTATTAAAGAATCTACACAGTTAATTGAAGCAGTCGGAAGTAAGCACTCTCTCTCTATATATATATGTTGAGTTGAATACAAGTAAATGAAACCACTAGTTGGCTTTGAAAGTAACAAAACGTCTCTCTCAGTCTCCCTTTAGGGCATATCATGGCTTCCAGTCCCACTGTGTTGATGCGGTTGGTGGCCTCGGCATATTCTATTGCTCAAAAGGCAGGAATGATAGTCAGGCATGTTATTGCTGAAGGAGACCTGGGTATCGTGGAGAAGGTACTGAAAGTCTCATCTCGTTTCATACCAACTATTTTTTGTTACTTGAATTTTAGCTAAAAGGATGTAATAATCTGGACATATTTTAACAGTGGAAATAATCAGTGGCTTCCTTATGGAGAGTGCAAGACCTTTAGTTCAAGTGGGCTCCACTTCTGCTTTGAAAAGGACTCCAGGCTGCCTACATCCAAAGCCTTTATTTATGTAACTGGCCCCTCTGACTGCTGTCCAGCTTCAGAGCACTGGAACCAAGCTTCATCGCCTCAAGTAATATATTACATGTAAATCCTTGGTGAACCCGACATGTTTGTAAAATCTGGCGTTTAAATAACTATCCATTACATTC